CCATCAGAACCGAGATCTCCACTCCTCAGAACCTTATCCTCAGGACTCACGGTGAGAGAGAGAGATGCGAGACGGAGTCGTCATCCCATGTCTATGGCTGTTGGCTCCCCGACACCCCACGCGCCTGGCACGTGGCACGAGCCTTCTGAGGCCTTACTCATGCAGTGGCGACGCTTTAGGCGAGATCTCCTCCAGCCATGCCATGCCACCTCTGCTGTCGTTGGAACGCGAGCGTGGCGATGCCCGACGCTCTCCCCGACACCACCGCTGTGGGTGAGCCATCTTCTTACGTTCGTCGCTCATCCCAACGCCGTTTTCCGGTACCAGCTTGGTCCTAGCGAGGTCCCCGATTCCATGCCCAAAATGCGATAAAGTAGTGGAATGCAAATCTGGCGACTCAAAGGAGTGGTCTTCTTCAAATGCGTAAACTACAATGAATATGTGAGTATATATTGCTATATTTGTCGATCCAACTGAATGAACTAGTTACTTTGTCAAGGTTTGGATAAATAAGTTGTGTTATGTGTTATCATCCACAGACGGAGAAGAAATGTCCATTCTTTGCTTGGTTGGCAGATTAGAAGAAAGTAGTCGCAAAGAAGCTTAAAGAAGACTTGCAAGTCAGAGTGCCATATGAAGGTCATGGTGAAACTAAAGCATTGCCATACCAAGGTAATGGTGAATCTAAAGGCTTGGTCGAAATGAAGCTTAAAAGCGAAATTTGAAGAAGAGAGGATGGATCTCAAGATGGACAAGCATGAAGGAGGATGAACCTCAAGATGGACAAGCTTATTGGTCCGGTCCAATTGTTGGTGGTGCTTTTTTAGTAATTGTTGTCATAGTTCTTCTAGGTGTGGTAGTGCTCATTACCAAGTGAAGCAAGTGTGTTTGTAATGTTGTCGTAAGACTCACAGTTAGTAAATGACCATGGAGATGTGTTCGCGTTGACATGTAAGCTGGAATGAAGTTGTTTTCCAATCATCTCATCTCACGGTTTTAGAGCCCGAGTATTCTGTTAGTCGTATTTCATTTCGAGTATGTCATCTTGCGATGACCGAAATCTAATGATTTCACATAAGCTCATACAACATCCTCGTCGTGTAATGCCTGAAGCTTTGGCATTTAGCATAAATAAATGCATCTTAGAAATAGCCTTCCAGAGTTGATTTTCTATTCTATAAGAGCAGTAGCTTTTGGCTGATGAATGCCTGCCCATTTCAAGATATGTACATGCCTTTTGGACAGTGGGCAATTACAATTCGCTCCTGTGTTAATTGGAGAAAGCATCGAAAGTGCTCAAACCTGCTCATCGAAACTTGTCTGGTATCATCATATGGGACTGTCATACAAAGCTAGGTTCTCACATAAATGATCCAGTGACCAAGAAGAAAAAAACAAGAGGAAAGACGATCAGATGGCACAATGCATTACTTTTTGCCTGATGTGATAATTTGGAACTGTTTTACAAGCCCATTTTTTTACATAAAAAGATCCAGAGGCAGGAAACATGAGACCGTAAGGCACACCTCATTAAGGATGCATGGAAAAATCGTAAGATGAGATGGAACATGGAAGCGCTAGAAAGAGCCTCCTACCATCTATGTAGATGGGCACACAAAGGCAGTCAACCATGACCAGTTACTTATCAAGTATGGAATATTATTGCACAGATGCTTTAAATATGTGATCCTCCTTCTCTAGTCTATTCATGTGCATTGTTGCTGATATGGAAACAGTCCCAGAATGGTTCTGCAGATAATGAACAAGAGCTGGAACGAAAAGCACTGGATCTGTCAGACTACCAGAAATGTGAAAGGTCCAAATTCACATAGCATCATCAATTCTTCCAGCTCTCAATTCATAGAGACTACAACCCTTTTGTGCACTACTGGTAAACTAGCTCTCAATTCTTCTAGTGTACATGATCACAGAATTTTCACAGAATTCTGACAGAGCAAGGGGTGTCATGATCACAGAATTTATCTGCCTCTATTGCTGCTTCCTTGGCTGCCCTTTTCCCTCTGCTATTTCCACCTTCAAGATAGCTTTTTATCCTGACTTTTCTGTATCTACCAGCTTCCTTCTTGTCAAGGGGTGCCTTAAGCCCAAAAGGCAATTCAACGTTTGGCCACTGTGACCTATTTGGCAGTGGCTCTATGAGTCTCTTGTAGGCTGCCTTGAACCTATCTACAGAGTAATACTCGTGCACAAAATCCCCCATATGCACATTAGCAGATTGCACACTTGTTATCAAAGCCAGAGCATGCTGGCAAGGCTTGCCAGTATGCTGCTACTCAAGACAGGTACACTCATGCAGATATGACTTAACAACATGTCTACTGTGAGTGTTTGAGGTGTACCAAATTTCTGCTGCAGAATATCCACCATCCACGACAGTCAAGTGCCCAAGTCCTCTTGTTCTTGCATTCAACTGATATATGACTGCTGGGAGGATCTTACCACTAAGCCTTTCTGAAAATTTCCTCCTTTTTGCCCACAAAACTATTATCATCTCTCTGATTTTGTCTGTGAGCTCCACAACAGGAAGGTCCTTCCAGTCCTTGATCCAATTGTTAAACGACTCAGCAAGGTTATTAGTGATATAATCACATTTAATAGCAGGGTTGAAGGCAGATCTCATCCACAGCTTATAATGGTGAGCCTGCAGCCAAACCAAAACAGCAGGACTAGCTTCAACAACTGACTTGAAAAAGTACTGGTGAACTTCTTCTCTATAATCTCTGGCTGCAGGATACATTTTAGAGAATACGTCACCCCAAACTTTTTAATAAAGTTGTTCATTAGATGTCTAAAGCACTCTCTATGTTCAGCTCTTGTAAACACGTTCTTAACTATATTTTCTAGACCTTTGCATGCATCTGCCGAGATAGCTAAAACAGGAAGGTCTCCTATGACCTTATGCAACTGAGTCATAAACCAGGTCCAATTGTCTGTTGTTTCACCATCAATGAAGCCAAAAGCAACTGGGTACATCCAGTTGTGACCATCTATACCACAAGCTGTAGCTAAATGACCATTCCACCTACCATTAAGCGCAGTAGAGTCAACGCTAAGATATGGCCTGCATCCTTCCAATAAACCATCTATGCAAGGTTTTAGTGCATAGAAAAATCTGTGGAAATAGAATATGCCATATACCTCCTTAACACCAATCTTAATAACACTACCTGGAGACCTCTTCATGACCTCTGTCCTCCAATTGAATAGCATCTGAAAGCTCTCTTCCCATTTACCATACAATTCTTTCAAGGTAATTTGCCTACCCTTCCAAACAGTGTCATAATAAATTTCACACTTCTGCTCATCTTGTAAAGTTTTTTTCAGATCCTTACATCCCATAGTTGGTGTCTTCCTGAGGTGATGTATTGCCTTTGCAGCAACCTAGGCACTAGTTGGTGTTGTAGTCTTCCTCCTAGCACTTGATGAACAAATGTGTATAGGATCTAACACTGTCACCTGTAAAAATAAATAATAATTAGTGTCTGCAAACAATAATAAAGGAAAAATAAATTGGCACCATTAAATGCAAGTTAGTACCATCACAGCGCACCCATCGGGCTGTCTACGCCCAACAAGATGCCAACGACATCGTTCTCCATTGCATCCTTCTCCCTTGCAGTCCGCGATGTATCTAGTTGGGTCTCTTTTGACAATGTGTAGTTCAAACTCTACACGTATAGCAAATTGTCTCACAGCCAATCTAAACTTCTTCATGTTAGGATATACTGAACCAAGATCCAAGCTGGGTCCATTTGGATCATGCACCACAATCCTCTCTCCTGGTAAATAGTCATCAACATCAATGGCTGCCCCAGTTGTATCAAAATCCTCATCGACATCATTGGCTGCCCTAGTTGTATCAAAATCCTCATCTACATCATTGGCTGCCCCCGTTGTATCAAAATGCTCATCTACATCATTGATTATGTCAGTAGTACAACCTTTTTGGGCTGCATCCTCGGCCCTAAACCCCAACAATTCATACATAACCTCATCATCAACAATCTCTATTCTTCCCTCTTCATCTTGACTTTCTTCAATGCGCAATATATCCCAGTCAACAAGAGGTGCGTGTAGCTGCTGGGCAAGGGCTTGCCAAACAACACAAGATGACTGCATCTACTGTGCAGGACCTTCCCAATCAAGAAGAGGTGCCTGCAGTTGCCGTGCAGGAGGTTCTACCACTGCTAAGCTAAGCTTAGGCTCTCCATTGAGCCTAGGACAGAAAAATTGCGAGACAGTTAGATTTACAACCACATCTACACTAATCGATGCTAGTCTATACGCTTGGAGAACTTCTACACTAAATTGGCACAATTAGATTACCACGAGAACTTCTACAACAGCAAGAATACGTACCCTTGATGAGATTTGGCAAGTTGTCCATCCAATACTTGGAGAAGCACGGCGGCGACGGCGGAGTCGTGACACTAGGCTGCGTGGGCGAGTGGGGGCGGCCGCGGTGGGCAAGATGGGGAGGCGGCGGCGGCGCTGTCGACCAGCTTGCTGCCCGCGCGTCGGCGAGACCTGGCCGCGCGCCGACAAGTCCTGGCCACGCGCCGGCGAGTCGGGGCGGCCGCGGTGGGCTGGCCGGGGGAGGCGGCGGCGGCGCCGTCGACCACCTCGCTGTCTGGCGGCGTCTCTCTCTCCCCCGTTCCTTCTCTCCCTCCCGGTCCTTGTCGTGCGAACAGAACAAGATTCTGATGGAGATCTCGGTTCTGATGGGATGGGTGAGGGGTAAAAGGAGAAAGAAAATAACAAAAAAAATTCAAAATCAAAATACGATACATATACTGATCAGAGCATTCTGACGGTGCATCGCGTTTGAAAATAGCAGGCGAATCTCATTTACGGGAAGGCAAAATAACGATAATGGCGAAGTAGCAATTTTCTCGTCATCCGAAGCCGCGCCGCGCCGAGCGAAGCGAAGGAAGGAACCATCCGGACCGTAGGCGCGCCTCTTGCCTCGCCTTCCTCCCATGGCGCCGCCTCTCGCCGCCGTCTCATCGACGTCGCCCCTGTTCTCTCCTTCCTCATCCCGCCCCCTCCGCCGCCGCCACGCACCTCCTGCTTCTATCTCCTTCCAAACGCGGGGACGCTCGCCCGCGGTGGCGGCGGCGGCAGCCGAGGCCTCCGGCAGCCCGCTTCTCGAGGTGCGCGGGCTCACCGCGTCCGTGAAGGAGACTGGGCAGCAGATCCTCGCCGGCGTCGACCTCACCATCCGCGAGGGCGAGGTTCGTGTGGGCAGCTCATGCATGGGCTGCAAACTTATTGGCGGCCTGTTGTGTATTGCTTAATTGGGGCTGCAAGGGATTGACTGATGGTAGTTTTATGCCGGTGTTTGATTGTTACAGATTCATGCGATTATGGGGAAGAACGGCTCCGGCAAGAGCACCCTCACAAAAGTAAGAGCTTCTGTTCGATGCACCATTGAGTCGATTGAAAAATAGGACGATTTTTCTGTGGCATGTGTTTATTTCGATGTTTAGTGCCCTGCTGTTGGAAATGTAATGGAGACACTATTTTGCTGACCAAGTGTTACTCCTGTAATCTAATTTTGTTCATTCTAGTTTTCTCTATGTTAGCCACCAACCTTAGGGCTAACCTACTGCAGTAAAATTTTGCTTCATTAAAAAATTGCTGCACTAGGCAGGATGGGCTTACACGTGTAGTAAAATAGCAAGTACTCCATCCTGTTGGTCCAGTAAGCTAGTCGTGTATACCTTTCCAAAGTTTATAATCAGGAAATGGCCTATATACAAATTGTAAAAAAGAGTGACCATGCTCTTTGCTCTGGTACCTGCACATAAATTGAGGCTTTCACCTTTGCCTTGCAGGTTCTTGTTGGCCATCCGCATTACGAGGTAACTGGCGGTACCATTCTCTTCAAGGGTGAGGACCTGGTGGACATGGAGCCAGAGGACAGATCTCTAGCAGGCCTTTTTATGAGTTTCCAAGCACCTATTGAGATTCCTGGAGTCGGCAATTTCGATTTTCTGCTCATGGCAGTGAATGCTCGCAGAGAAAAGAGTGGTCTACCAGCATTGGGTCCCCTTGAGGTGAACTTCACAATTATATGTGCTATAAGATATACTATAAATTCTCACAAGAGATAAATATAATATTAAACTGTTTTAATATAATTACAACACATTGATCTTCAGTACTATCAGTATTATATAAAAGGCAGGAAAGGGATGAGTGAAGTCAGAAGTTGTTCTGTTTTGGTTCATTTCTTTACGTGTTACAAATGTAGCTTTCCTTGCCATATTGAACTGTAGCATTATGGTTCTCTTCCTCTTGTTTTTGTTTGCGAATGTCTAGCAATATATAATTTTGTAAGCATTTTCTAGATTGATCTGTTTTTGTCATCATTTATTAATTATGAGTTACTTATAGTGGCATTTATTCTGTCACATCTTTGCTTTCTTTTGCAGTTTTACTCAATTGTATCGCCCAAAGTTGATGCCTTGAAGATGGACCCAAAGTTCCTTGATCGCAATGTGAATGAAGGTTTTAGCGGCGGTGAAAGGAAGCGTAATGAGATATTGCAACTTTCAGTACGATTTACGACTATTCTTTTTCTGTCTTGATACCACTCTGAATTTGCATGGCTTCTTGGTTTATATGCCAATGAATGTTACATTTAAGTTGTGATTTGTGAAGTAAGACGAAGCAGTGCATTTTTTTTTTAAAAAATATCCTACTACAGGCATGATGTTTTAAAACATCTCAAGGTTAATTATATAGGATTGTAGGGAAATTTATTTTTCCCCATGCAAACCTTTGGAACTTGTTTTTCCCCATGCATTTTTTTAAGGCTGTGTGTATTACATGAATTGTACATTCAATACCATGATTATATTCAGTTATGCTTGTATTTGATTTACTAGGTCTTTCTTTTCCCAGTGAGGATCATATTTGAAAACAGTTATCTGTTCCCTTATTTGCTCATACTTTGTTGTTTTTGAGGCTTGTTAAGTATATTGTGTCCATGTGCTTGATAAAGTTTCCATGCATTTGCGTAAGAACACTTTATTAGTTTTGTAGACATTTTTACTAGGCTTCAGAATTTGTCTTGTCTGTCTATTTGTGCACATCACCAATATATTTCCATCTCTGATTCAGGGTGTTTGTTTATTTTAATTTAGGTCATTGGAGCAGATTTAGCCCTTCTTGATGAAATAGATTCAGGATTAGATGTTGATGCAATTGAAGATGTTGCTAATGCAGTGAATGGGCTTTTGACACCCCAAAACTCTGTTTTGATGATTACGCACTACCAACGTCTTTTGGATCTCATTAAGCCCAGCTATGTTCACATCATGGTAAGCCGTAATATGTTTGTTTAGATGTGCAATAAATATAGGTTCACTTTAGTTGTTTATCCCATGTTTCCTCATCCTATGGTGGTTTGCATCTTGGTTTATATGCCATATGCCAATGAATATTACATACACTTCACTATGAATATTACTTTGTTTACACTTAAGAGTTAACCTATCTGTTTAGGTGTGTTTAATCTGGCTGTTCCTGTATGTTTGTTCCTATGGTATTTCTTGCAAATTTATAACTATTTGACCATTACATCTATTTGTGCATCATTATAGAGCCGTTCCATACAAAAGGATGCACTTGTGGTCCCTATTTCTACAATGTTAGCTAGGGATAAGGTGGTGAAGAGCTCAGTAACTGTTGTTTATCCCATGTCTCTTCTTCCCAGGGAGTAGAGGGGGAATCCTCAATCAGTTGCATTTAAGATGTTATGATATTCATTGAGATGCAACATAGTTATTTCATCTACTGCCTCAATTCATGCGCATAAGTTTAAGGCAGTTTGTATCTTGAGTATTTATAAAGGACACCCTTCAGATGTTTGTGAACCTACTCCCTCTGTTATTTTTTTGTTTGATGTTCCATACTTCGCACGTCCCTTGCCAATGCCATCTCATTAAATTTGTATGTTTGTTTACACCCCCCTTGCCTTGTGACCAATTAACACTGATACTGAGTCTTATAAATTATATGACACAATGAATGCAGTTATTTCAGAAAAATGTAGGTATTTCTCTTCCTTAATACCAGATGGAAAAAGAAGACTTGTACAAAACAGAACTAAGGAAGGATGTAAACTCTAAACAAATTTTAACAGGGAACATTGATGAGTTCACTCATATGACCTCCACGATAACCTTGTTGGTGTCTTTGTAGTTCCTTTATTTTCCAAGTGTCAGAATTTGAGAGCACTGTTTTAAGTATTTGGGTGCTTTCTAACTTCGAAGAATGAAGGGTTCATGCTGTTTCTGATAATTCTTCTTATTGGACACTTCCAGGAAAATGGCAAGATAATCAAGACAGGTGACAGTTCTATTGCCACACAAATTAATGAAGGTGGCTTTAAATCAATCGCCCTTGTATAGCGCGAAAGTAGCAGGTTGTTTTTTTGTTCCCTGTACCTTTCCTTTTATTTTGTGGAAATATTCTCGGTTTTCTGGCTGAAATTGAACTATGCACTTGCATGGTAACATTACCAATGATTTCTCCTAATAAAATAAATAAAATGATTAAAAGGAATATGTTTAGATTGGTGTGTGCAAAAGTAAATGAGGTTGAGTTGAGGACTGTACACTTATTGCAGGTCAAATAACTGAAATGGCTCATTGGGCTTGTTCACCAGCCACTAGCCTACTTGCCAGAACAGAGTGCGTACTGCTTGGGGTTTGCACTACTACCCACTACTGGTTTCAGTTTCAGGGGGTACCACATACTGAATTCAGTAAAAATTTTGAGTTAGTACCCGGTTCGACCAGGCATGTCTTTTGAAGGTGAGGAGCTGGATACACCACCTCCCCTCTGTAAGAATCTTTGGATCAAGATATTGATACAAGTAGTCATACATAGGGATAGCATATCGTGCGTGCATACAAGGTCCAAATTTTGTATGTTTGAATATTACTTGTTTTCTCAGGCCTCTGGCCATCAAGACTGGTGCTGCATGCAACTTTTGTAACATTTTTTAGCACTGTCACAGATGTTCAGAACTAGAAAGTAATTCAGTTGTCTCCAAACTGTTATAGAGCATTCGAAATTTGAAACTTGTCATTACCGTGGTTCGTTCTTCAACATGCCTGTATGTTCTGCGACACGCATATGGATAATGGGAGGACCAGACCAGTAGTGTGCCATAGCTCCTTAGCTGCATTTTGAACCAGTGACATATGACTCCACTAATGGTATCGGCAGGTAGGTGCTGCATTTCTGTTATTCCATTACAGTTGGCCTGTGTCCCGAAGAATATGATTCATTCACTAGTTGGGATTGGTGGACCATGCTGAAGTTTCTTATGAGCATCCCCACACACAGATCTCTTCTACCATTTATCCGTCCACCACTAATGGTGAGTGGCTACGGACTTGTAGCCTTCCCTGTTACAATTACCAGGTGCTAACATCGTCCAATAATAACCGAATCTCTTTGAGGTGGCAGCTTTCTTGCCGCTTAGTATGTAATCATGGATCAGGTTGGCGTTGACTCATGCACACTGGTCCAGTTCAATAAAAAATATACTACAGAACAAGGCAATTTCAGCATTGACTTCTTCGTTTTGGCGCAATCAAAAGGTGAATTCATGAAAGGCAAAACTGAAAGTAGTCAACATCGCCATCTGCCCAAGTCTGCGAACCATTTTGTAACTCTGTGTGTGTGTTTTTTCCGCGTGGGAATCAAATTGTTTCATATGATTTTTTTTCACACATCTCCTATAGTTCAGGCGCCTGAACAGTTTTGTCGTTGTTGTCTTTCCATAGAAAAAAAATTTGTAATTTGTTTATTGTGATTTGTGCTAAACTGCTAATAGATTTGGATTGTTGGATGGAAATCTGAGGGTTGTTAGCTTATGCCTGAACAGATGCTATATTCCATGCAGAAATATAGCATATCCCTTTTTTTTCAAAGGTTCTTGCATTGTTCATGCCGTTTCTAGGAGGTTCAACCTCTACCAAAACGTTTTGCCCGCTGCGACTGTTGATCGGAGGCACAGCCGCACAGGCCATAGTTGCCTACTACTCTATGGGCGGAAAAGGAGCCGCCGGTAGCCAAGGTCGCCATCCCACGATCGCAACGTCGCCGTCAGGCTGCAGCGGCGGCGCGGTTGGGTCCACGTGGCGCGCACCCGGGGCGCTGGCGGTGCAAATCAGCAAATGGGGGGCATCATCCTGAGGTGGCCGTGGCCTCACTCTCCGTCACCGAGAGAAACAAACAACCTAATCCTGAATCCGGTCGCATTCGGGGAATGTCTTCCGGCCTCCCGCTAATTCCATGGCGTAATCATGCTTTTGCATTAGCAGCTTGCTCTCGCATTGGGCGGTGACGCTTGCTTTCGCATTGGGCGATGACTCGTGCCATCGTCCTGAACTCACTATAAAACCCATGCACTGAGTGTTACCTTGACACCAGCCCTGAGCCTGGTCTCTTCTCTTGGCTGCCGCATTGGCAGGCACATCCAGGTAGTCGTAGCTCTATCTCAGATAGGACTTTTTCCCCCTTCTTTTGACTCATCAGGCTTTGCTTCTACTATCTTTCTTTGCATTGGTCGTGCAACGGATTGTGATGGTGACATGAAATGAAATGAATCTTACAGTCTGTTCGCGAACGTGTTTTACTCTGTCATCAGAGAAAAACGTTGCCAAGCATGAACGGCCACGTTTGAGCTGAATTCGTTTGATATCCAACCTATCTCTCACTGCCAGCTTATATATGAATAATAATGCCTGCAGGCTGCAGTGGCTGCGGTACGTCGGTGAAACCTGACATGCTGACGAGCGGCATCGCTCCAATGGTGTCGCGCACGCTCGCCCCGTGGCGGCAGGTCATGCTCCTGGCTCTGCTGCCGCAGTTGTTCCTCAGCGCCCCCGTCGTCGTCGTCGCGAGGCAGTGGCAGTGCCTGTGGCCGGGCCAGGCGTCCGACGACGCTGGGTGCCTGAGCTGGCGCGTCATGGTGGAGGCCAACAACGCCCGCGGGTGGCGCACGGTGCCCGCGCAGTGCGTCGGGTACGTCAACGGGTACATGACCCGGGGCCAGTACCAGCGGGACCTGGCCGGCGTCATGGAGCAGGCGTCCGCCTACGCCGACGAGATCGCCGCCGACGCCGACGGCCTCGACGCCTGGGTGTTCGACATCGACGACACCTGCCTCTCCAACCTGCTCTACTACGAGGCCAAGCAGTTCGGGTACGCACGGCATGCATGTCGGCATGGCTCGACCTCTCGATCCACTGCTACTGCTAGCTCCCCTCTGCATGCCGTTCTCTGTTTAGCACCTGACCTGCGGCTCGCTCTGGGCGTCTCCTCTCTTCCAGGGCGTACGACCCGTTGGCGTTCAAGGCTTGGGCGAGCAGGGAGGCCTGCCCGGGGATACATCCGGTGCTTGGGCTGTTCACGACGCTGCTGGACAAGGGCTTCAAGGTCTTCCTTCTCTCCGGGAGGGACGAGGAGACCCTGGGCTCGTGCACGGCAGCCAATTTGGAAGCAGAAGGCTTCTCCGGGTACGAGAGGCTCATCATGAGGTGCAGTGCAGACAACTTCTTCCACTTGGTTCTATCTTAGTACTAGCCGAGCGTAAAACACGTAGTGCGTCGGTGACGTGGACGGCTAGCTGAACATTCAGAAGATTCACTGACAATAGGAAAAAGGCCGCTGGACGGTCCTCCTTTCACGAGCAGCCAGTCACGATCTCTATCTACCTCCAAATTGCCACCAGGAACGTCGTCATCCAGATTGTGAAACTGCGTTCTGAAGTGTCATGTCTGCTTGCAGGACTCCGGAGTACCGAGGGCAGAGCTCGTCGATCTTGAAGTCGGCGATGAGGAGGCAGCTCGTGGACGAAGGCTACAGGATCCGCGGCAACGTCGGGGACCAGTGGAGCGACCTGCAGGGCGACAGCGTCGGCGACCGCGTGTTCAAGATACCCAACCCCATGTACTTTGTCCCCTGAAGCAAATTGCTCAGTCATACAGTATCATGGACGGGGAACGGTGCCTGATTGATGTCCTCAAAAAAGAAAGGACGAGCATACAGATTACTCCTATGTAGGGAAAGTGTCAAAGCGATCTGTAAACGAATGGCCAATGCAGAATAAGCACAGGCCGTAGAGAATATACTAGACAAGAAGAACAGTCTTTCTTCTGCTTCAATACCAGAATGCTTTTGTAACAAAACAGGTACCACAACAGAACAATCCTTTCGCATAGCAAAGAGCTAGAAATGCAGCGGGGCTTGCTCCCTGACGATGCAGTAAGCAAATTCGTCTAACCGCTTGCCGCAGGCGCAAGCAGGTCCCGCCGGCAGGGCGGCAGGCACGGCGCACGGCGCACGGCCACGGGAACAGTTGAGACAATCAGATCAGCAGTGGCCACCGGCGTCACCCGTGGCGTGGCGATCACGGGCCGCCGCCGCCTCTCTTGCCCACCAAACATTCGGCCCGGCCCCATGGAGTAGTCAAAACCAAACCCATAACGACGGCCCAACGCGTCTCCACGGTCCCCAGCCCATAACGACCAAGCAAGCCTCCGAGGCGTCAGCGTCACGGCCTACGATACGAACGAACCCCAGCCAGCCCAAACGCAAGCTCCGCCGATTGGCCGCCCGGCGCCACGCGTTCCCGGCGAACCAGAACCTTCCCGCACTTGACCTCCCCGCCGCCGCGGCCAGCCGGTCTTCCTCTCTATTTCTTATATATCCACCACCTGCCTCGCCTTCTCCCGCACGCTCCGGAACGGAACCTCACACACAGCACAAGGCTCGCGAACCCTCCAGCTCACCACTTGTCACGTCCAACTTTCCGCCATGGGCAGGAGTAAGCACCCAATTCCTTCAACCACTTTTCGTCGTCCATTTTTCCTCTCTAGACCTGGAAATGATCGATCGTGCATGCAGTTGGTTGTTTTTGTACTAACGATGGATTGTGCGCTGCGTGCATAGGGCCGGCTCGGTGCTACCGTCAGATCAAGAACAAGTTGAAATGTAACTTAACCTAAACATGATCACTAACTCAAACTTATACGAAATGTATCATAGTGACTAACCAGAGCCTGTGGACATCATCTGTATCGTTGGAGATGCGATAGAGATCGTAGATGTAGCAGATGATTTGAGTTCACCACCGGAGGACTTGAACGCCCTCTGTCGGTGAAGAACGTGAGGAGCCGGGTAGCGGCTGCCTTCTAGACCGAGATGGACCTGAACGGGATAGACGTGGGTGACGGCCTTCCTAAACCCTCCCGCGTCTAATTAACCGGTTATATGAATAGTCACAGGGATGGATGGAATGGAAACGTCAGGGGCGCCTACTCTTATTTATAGTTGCGCTGTGGGCCAGGGGGTCGAACCTTTAGAATTCTAAGGGTTGCCGTCGATCACGGCA